GACTTCTGGACGGCCGCTCACTGCGGCTGCTGGCTGCTCATGCTGACTGCTGGCTACACACGGTAGCCCATGGCAACCCACTGCCACAGGAGCTGCAGCCTATGCCGTCGCCGGCGACTCGGCAGCCCAGCTCCAGGTTGAGCTGTTGTTCAGCATCTTAGCTGTGGAGGGCACCTCATATGTGGGATCCGAACCGGGGCCCTCTGGCATCCCAAGCCAGTTCTTAACCATCGCGCCACTCGGCCGGCCCACTTATTTTTTTGTATTGCTTGGGGATGGGGACTAAGATCTGCTAGTGGAATTCAGCTTAACATAAGACAAAACTTTCTGGCAGGTACATCTGTTCAACAGCAGAGTGACTCTGTAGCGAGCTGCCTGTCAGAAGAAATGTTGAAGAAAAATTTGGGTAGCCGTTTGTTAAGGAAACTGTAAAAAGAATTTCTGAGTTAGGAAGACAAGGCTAAATAACAACATAGGCATTTTCCTATGGAATTCTAGTATAAATGTATACAGATGCAATCTCATATGTAACAAATTCTCTGCATGTGGCTTAATCCATTTTCAAAGAGTTTTCTACATATGAAAATTGAAACCTTGCTTGATCCTTTTTTGAGTAAAAGGATATTGTAGTGCCTTGCGGTCCTTGGGAACATGCATGATCATCAAAGAAGTAAAGATAGGAGAAATAAGGAGACTTGGGAGCCAGCTTATTTCACTTCCATCCTCTTTGTCTATTGTTACCTTGGAGACTGAGTCCCTTATCTTTGGAGCCCCATCCTTTTCATCTGGAGGAATAATCCCTGCTCCCTACTTTGAGCATGAGTCTTTAAAAGAACAAGCACGGTATTGGAAGTTTTTTGCCTCCTAGTGTATCTGGAGCTTTTTGAAGGAAGGTGCTATTTGCACCTCACAGATAAGTGACAAGTTTAAAGAAAAGTATATGACACTGTAAACTTGACCTTGATGCATTTAGCACGAACACACTTCCCTGTTATCTTTATTTTTCCTGCTATTCTTTTATTGCAGTAAGTGTAAGCATAGTAGATTAGAAAAATTTCATACATTTATATAAGAGAGGTGGTAATATTTAGTAATCTATTTATTTTAGATCTATCTCTAATATTCTTTTGGCAGGCTATTACTGACTTGCTGTAATCTCCAAAGTTATGTTCTGTAAACCATTTTGCTGTCACTGGATACACGCATGGTCACACTGTAGGTATTGTGTTACCACATTAAATGAAAAACCTGGTAAATGTGAACATACGCCTTTGTTGATCTCTAAAATGTGATCTCTGTGTTTTCAGTGAATGACGAACCTGCTACAGCCATTGATCCCGAAGAACCCTCTGTTGTTGTTGTGACGTCCCCTCCTGCTGCAGCACCGAGTGTCACCCCAAACCCCACCACAGCCTCTCTCCCTGCTCCGGCCACGCCAGCTGAAGGAGAGCAGCCCAGCACTTCGGGCACACAGCAGCTCCCGGCGGCTGCCCAGGCCCCCGATGCGCTGCCTGCTGGGTGAGTAGCCTTCTGTCCCACAAGGGCGCTTTTCACCCCTCCAAAGACTGAGGCTCCTTCACTAGGGCAGGAACAACGTGGTTATTTATTACCTAGTGCCGAGGAGTCTCTGGGAGGTTGCTGTGCTTAACGATCATGGGAGGTGTCGAAGAACTGCTTGTTCTACATAAATCTTAAGAAGAATCTAAATTATCTGGGGCCGAATCAATACTACCTTATACCATGGCTTGCAATGAACAGCTTGATTCAAAGAGTGAGGCTTTTATGGAATAAGGAACTCATTTTGCCTTCCAAAATCATTGGAGGGTGTTCGCCTAGATCCTGCCTAGAAAACAGCTTTTCTCTCTTGAATTCTCTTAACGGCCTATGGAGGACTTCAGGCTCTGAATATTGCTGTATGTTATTCCTATAACTGAGGCTGATATTAACATGGGCTACTGGTTTCCTTGCTATCTTTTAGTTCAGAATTGAATTTGGTGGTAAAGACCTTAGATGGTAAGAAAATGGCCCCAGTAAGCCAAAAAGAAGTTCAAGTTTGGCTATATAGCAAGTGGAGATTAACAGCATGAACCCAAGAATCAAATAGATCTGGGTTTGAATTCCCACTTGACCCTATTTCACCTTGCCTGAGTGGCTTACTGTCTTGATAAGGTAGAGGTAATAATCACGCATATATCCCCAGGAAGTGAAGGGGCTCAAAGAAGATGACATATGTAAAGCGCTCACCCAATGGTGGGCATTATACCTGGTGAATGATATTTTTGAAGTGTTTGTGAAGGAATCACAAAGGTTTTAAGTGGTGAAATGTGAGGCTGAGAGTTTTATTTTAAAAGGTTAAAATTGGTCCCCTGACTCCTGAAGCCACGATATCAGGAATAGAGGAATAACCCATCTTGTCTGGATCTCCTAAACTTTATAATGATTTTGAATTGGGAAATGAAGCCTTATCTTAGGGCTACCAATCATAGTCATGGCCCCTCTGTCCATCCTGGTTATCCGTTCGGTACTGAGGAAACCAATGTCCATATTGCCACAGTCACCGTGGCCTGGCCGGTGGTGGTGGTGGTGGGGGTGGTGGTGTGTGTGGGCCCTCTGAGCCCTTGTAACTCATAAAGGAAAAGGGAAGGATGGAGGGTCTCTTGCTTGATGTGTAGTATGCTGTACCGTTCTTAAGCTACTTTAGAAAACCCAGTTGTTAAAACAAAAACCCCAAATTTGAAGGCATGTGCGATTTTTTACCACGTACATACTGCATCCTTACCATTTGGCACTCTACCTAACTCATATTTCTTAATAAAGTGTGATGAAGAAATGAAAAGTATTACAAATACTTCTTAATATCTCAAACCTGGTGAGAATTGGGGATATTGAGAGGTGGCTCTGAAAAGTTTTTTGTGAAGTCTTTGACTTTTGTGAAAAGATTAATAACCAATTGCTGTGTCCAGCTAGTCCCTACAGAGATTTCTTTTCTCTTTTGTATGTGGTAAGGAATACTCGAAAGACCTCTGTTTGCTTTATAATTTCAAATCTGTGTATAATTTGGGGGTGGGGGGGTAAGAGAGCAGAATCGTTTTGGCAGCTAGGAGAGAAAATGGCTGCCTGTGTCCCCGTGAGCTGTTTGTTTTCTTTCCGCTGAGCAAATGCCTGGAAGGCCGGCTTCACTCTTGTGTCAGTCACAGGCAATTAGGGCTAATGGCTCAACGTGTCTTTATGTAGGGCGTGTGTGAGGGTTACTGTTCTCCTGGATTGGGCTCTTCCTGTTTCCAGGCAGCTGGAAAACTCCAGGCTCTGAAAACGCTCTTTATTCTAAGTCTGGCTGATGGAGCGGCCCAGGGAAGCCGATTCTCCTCCCCCACCCCGCCAGAGGCTGAAACACTTTTCCAAGGTAGAGCTTGGACAACATTTTTTCTTTAGAACATTGAGAACATGACGACGCCTGTGTGTGGGTCTGGGGAGGCCGCTGCTTGCTTTCCCAAATACCAAAGAAAGGTATTGGGACCCAGTTTTCCATCTTGAGATGCTCATCCCTAAGACATCAGGGGAGACCTGGAGATCACCGGCTGCTTAACGAGATTGCACAGCGCTGCTGAGAGCTGGGCAGTGAGCATGGCAGGCCTGCAGTTCGCTGCTCTGTGACAGCAAGTCAGAAAGGGCACATGTTCTACAGTGACCCTTGCCATTTATAGACCTACCAACCCACCCCAGCTTATTTACACGTTTAGGGGGTCCAGGCAAGATGGGTTATTATTCCTTTATTCCTGATATCGTGGCTTCAGGAGTCAGGAGTCCAATTTTAACCTTTGAAAGTAAAACACTGAGCCTGACATTTCACCACTTAGAATGCTGCAATGGCTTCCTATTGCCTTTAGGGATAAATTCTCAAATCTTTAATAAAGCCTAAAAAGCGCTACGTGATAGGACCCCATCTCCCCTTCAAGTCTTCCATGGAGGATACTCTCTGCTTTGTTCTCCAAGCTCTAGACATAATAACTTGTCTCAGCTTGACAAACGTACCATTCTTTCTCTGGACCTGGGACCCTCCACCATGCTGGCCGCTCTTTCTGAAACCTTACTTTGTACTTTGTCCATTAATTCCTATCCATCTTCAAGACTTAGCTTAAACAGAACTTCCGCTAGGAAATGATAAAGTGAACTGGCATCATAAGATGCTTAATCATAGAGTTGGGGGGACTATGGGTGGGGCTGGGCCCCTTGTTAACTCTATAACCCTCACTTCACGTTCATCCTTATAGTAATTCTGGGGGTGGGATCATAATAAAGGGATTAGCCATCTTGAAACCAGGGGTCTTTTTGCCTCCATGTGGACTGCCGATAGGAGCTCCGTGTAGGAGGTGTGCTTTCTGCACTACAGTGGTGGTCTTGCTTCTTTTTCTTTTCCTGAATAAACCGTTTCTTTTGTGGATTACTTGGAGAGTTATTTTTCGCCAGTTCAACAGAATCCTTCCTTGAACCCACAAGGTCAGATCGCCCTGTGTACTCTAACTCTGCTCACACGTGTAATTGCTTGTTTTGTGTCTCACTGCCCTGTTCAGGATGGCAGGGAGCCTGGCACAAAGTAGGCCCCCAAGACATATTAGCAGTGAATAAATTTAAGTGTCATCTTTTTTTCTCCACCTGGATGAATGTTTTCTGTTTCTTCGATACCTCAAATTAAGAGCAACTATGACAGGAATACTGCAGCCTTTTCTTCCCAAGAGCAAGAGTTGAAGGCGTCATTCACTGGGTTGAATAGCTTTGGGTTTAAATCTGCATCTCTCATAGGGTCAGGATGCCCTTACCTGCTCACTAGGGGTCCTCACATACTGGGAGATACCATGGAGCGTGTCTCCTCTTTGCTAAGGCACTTATGAGCCATGCCAGATTTTTGTTTTCAAGACACCCAGCTGACTTTGTCTCTTTCCAACTTGACCTTCTCCACTTTTTCAGTCTCCTTTACTGAGTGATTGAGCAAGATTCACTTGGAGAGCCCACGGGCTTATTTTTCCAGTCGCTGCATTGCCTTTCTGCAAATTGCAGCAGATGAGACTGGTCATAAAGAGGTCACACACGTCTGTATGTTTTAAGGATGGAAGGCTACCGAAAGCTGGGCTGTATAAGTCCAAAATAGAACACCCCTCATCTCTTTTCTCCCTGTCTCCAAACCCCCCTGCTTTCTGAACCTTTAAATTTAATTAGCATGGAAAAAGCCAACTGGAAGGGTGTAACGTGTTCAGCTTGCAAATGTCCATTAAAGGAGGGGGAGCCAGGAAAGCTCAGGATACATGGTGAGATAGTGGCCCAGGCAGCGGGTAGTGGGGAGTGAGGCCACTTTGATCGGCTGGCCCTGCATCTGGTTTTTATCAGCACTGAGCTCACTTTGGGGACCAAATGCTCATTAACAGACCCTGTGTACATGGCTTAGATAAACTCCAAGTGTGTCCCAGGCCCTGCAGCTCACTCAGTCCCTCACACACAGAGGCACATTATTTCACCCTGGCAGTCGGCTCTCTGCTGTGGTTTCTTACATAAGGGAGGCCGTTGTGTTTGGACTGCCGACTTACCTCAGCACTGCCATTTCACACCAGCCTTTTTCTCCTGCAGTCATTGGCTGCCCTGTCCATTTCCTGCCTCAGAGTAGAATTAATTGAGGAGGGGTGTTTTCTAGATCTTTTGGATTTGCCATCTTGCCTATCTCCACGCCCAATTATGGAGATAGAGAGGCCGTTTCTCCAGGTGGTCCTTGAGACACTATCAAGGATGACAACCTGGTAAGAGTTCTTTGATGTTTTGTTTGTTAGAGGTGCTGTAAGAGATGTCGGAATTTGGAACATCTCTGTTAAGTTATAAACCAGCCGCTGCCATTGATTTTCATTCCAAACTCAGGCCCTAGCCAAAGATCCTAACCCAAGGAGTTTTAAAATAGCGCTTCTCAAACTGTCTGTGAAGAGCCCATCCCTTTTTTTTCTGTTATTTTAATTTTTTTTTCAGTCTGTTACAAATCCTTATTTTTGTTTGCTATTCAGTGGGATGAATCTACTGTTCCCGTATTTGGATGTTGTGGTAATGTTGCATTGGTACAAAAAGTTTCTAAATGCTTAGAAACTTCTGTACTTTTCTGATCACTGGGCAGTGACAATTTGGGCCGTGGACTATATTCTGAATAGCACCATTTTAAAGGCCCATACTGGGAAAATCGGTGCCTTTTTGCTGTATATGGTTTAGTTTTTTGTTTGTTTGTTTGTTTTTTTAAGCTGAGCCGTCCTGCCACCTGTTGGCATCTCAGCGGCTGCTCAGCTCGGGCTGGGAATCGAACCCTGTTGCTCAGAGCTCAAACTGTTGAGCGAGCTCTTAACCAACTGAACCACTCGGCTGGCCCTGGTTTAGTTTTTGACTCTGCAAGGATTATTAAATGCTTAGGTAATGCCAAATATCACATGCTTCCGGCTTCCTCCTCCTCATCTCGGAACGAAGCCTTAATTCCAAAGACTCTACTGTTTTGG